GGGGACGCCGGGCGAGAGGATAGAGACATGCTGTACGTGTGTGTGTGTCTGTGTGTGTGTGTGTAGGCTCTCCCTCACTGGGGGAAGGGAGTTTCTATCAGTGAAGGATTTTTTCGTGCATGCTCCGAGGATTTGATCTTTGGGGATTCAGCGTGGTGTGTGTGTGTGTGTTGTTGGAGGTAGCAGAGTAAATTAATATGTCCCAAGTGAATAGGTGCATTGGGAAGGCGTTGTTATTTTATGGACACAGGGTGGCTGTGAAAGCGCTGTCTATTTCTCTGTTTACCTCTTGCTGCCTCTCTTTTCTTTCATTCAAAAAGGTGTACTCCATGAAAATAATAATTGGTCATTAATGAGGCTCATAATGGATGATGGATGACTTACACATCAACTACCCGATCACATTAGAACCACATTTGTTGGTCTTTTGCTCATGTGTCCTTTAACATTAATTAAAAGTGGTAGTCTTTTATTTAGACAGCCCACTTGCTCTTCGAATGACCTTTGATCTTTTCAATATTAGAGGGGAAAGCAGCAAGAGAGAGCTAATTTAACTATTTTATCCGTTAAATAGACGTAAAAATACTGAAAGCTCACAAACACTTGTTTCTGAAATTTGTATTAGTTTAGTTAGAAATGGTTTAACACATCACACAAAGGGTGTCGGGGCATACTGCTGTAATGAAAAAAGCTATTTGGTTCAGACAGATTAGTGACCAGCTCAGTTATCTACAGTATCGCAGACCAACATGTGTATGTTAAAGTACACATGAGCCAGAAGTATCATGTGGCCATCTTAACTCCACGTTGAACACAGAAATGTATTAATATTTTAGTGTTTAGGTTTGTGTTACAGTATAGCATGAGATGGCGTCTTAAAGGGAGTAGGAAATGTGTAAGTTGGAGGCTATATGTACATGTCGATAGATAGATAGTGTCAGTCAAGCCAGTTTTCTGTCCATGCAAGCCTTGTTGCCCCACCACGACAAACACACACACACACACACACACACACACACACACACACACACCATGACTCTCTGTCTTTCCCTATATCTCCCTCCACTGATGGCCTGTTAAATAGAATCTAATTAGCTACTGAGCCGACAACATAGCCCAGAGACACCAGTTATAAATCAGCTGTGTGTGTGTGTGTGTGTGTGTGTGAAAGTGTTTATAGTTGTGTGGAAGGGAGAGGAAAACAAAGCAACAGCATGTTAGTAGCTGGGCTATCTGTGACCTGTGCTGCATTCTAACAAGAGAGAGACACATGAATGGACCGAGGGGAAGCGAGGCAAGGATGGGTGAAGGGATCAATACGTAAAAGGACGGCTGAATGGATGGTGGGATGGGTGGAGAAGAAGGCAAAGGATGAAAGGATAAAAAATAACAAGGGGGAGAGGAATAAAATAGAGGGAAGGATAAGGGGATGATTGTTGAGTGAGAGGGATTTAGAATAGAAATAATAGGTAAGTGAAAGATAGAGGAGAGAGGAGGAATGAATGAAGGTAATGGAGGAAGGGGAGGGGATGGAGGGGACAGTGGAAGAGCTGATGGGCAGAGAGATGAAGAGGATGGATGGAAAACAAGCACCCTTCACTTTAGGGTTGGACTGGAATAGATCCACTTGACCAAATCCCAGGCCACTTGTCATTAAACGCTACCAATTAGCTGGCGTTTGTGTGTGTGTGTCTACCATGCTTGAATTGTGCCATAGATTACACCAGTCAGGGTGAGAGAACATAATAATAGAGTAATAGCACACATACACACATATGAATATAAACATGTTACGAAATTGATGTGGCTGATGGATTTGAAGGATCTATTATAAAAACAATCACAAAACAGATACTGTTGCCCGAGGAGCAAGTGGGAATCTCCAGCAGCAGAGTAACCGTGCATGAATCCATCACAGTCGTGTCTCATCCTATAAGCACCAGCACTGCAGCAGTTGCAGCAGCCTGTAGTTTTCATTGTTACATAGAAATCAAAAGTAGATTTTAATTCAAGCACATCTTTCTGAAACTTCTTGAGCCTTTTTATGACATATAAAAAATGCCACAATTTTAACTAACGCCAGTATAATTTTTAAGATACGGTGAATTCCTGCACCTTATGTATCTTCATGCTACATGGGAGGGTCTGAGCATTCAAGTTACACAATAAGAAAACCTGTAATCGCTTTTGATTGCATTTGATGCAATATGTATGGAAGCATAGCTGGCACACAATGAAAATCCAATTAGTGGTCTTCTTGTGGAGCTTTGTTTCAAACAGTATGTGCATCCACACACACACATCCACAGTCACAAACACACACCTACACAGATTCACACTCACAAATCTCCTGGGAGAGCTAGTCAAATGGTGAAACACTTCGTCGTTCTCCGGGTCACTGAATCCACATCTCCTCCCTTCTCCTCTTCCCTCCTCTTGCACTGTCCCTCCCTCACTCTCTCTCTCCCTCTCGCTGACTCCCCCCTCCCCCACCCCCTCACTTTCATTTCTGTAACCTGGTGCAGTTAATTGAAAGCCAATGGTGTGAGAATATGGCTCTTTGAGTGTTTCAGGGTGCAAGGTCTTCTCTCTATCTCACTCTCTTTATAATCAAAGAAATATATGTGAGGATAGATTAAAGCAGAACGGAGCAGAAAATTACCGCCAGAGCAGTTTTAGAGGTCTTCTATTTCATCATATCGTCAATACTGCTCCTGCGTGTAACTCAGTTTGTCAGCAAATCTGCTTGTTTGAATTATGGCTTCATAAATTGTATGAAAGGAATTATATTGACACATACACGAATATTTTTTACTAATGACAATAAATCATGCTGAATTACTGCCTGCAGATTTACTGTAACTGGGTTTCCTGCAAGATCACTCTCACTTAACTGCTCTTCCTCTCGCTGCACAGCCATGGTCAATGTGGCCAATGCCTTTGTCAAAAGGAAAATAATGTATTATTAGCTATGCATCCATAGACCTTATTATCTATATATCATTAACTGCTCAGCCTGTTCTAATCCTTCCAGACTAATGGTCACACTACTAACGTTAAACTTCAAGAGGTTTAACTTTTAAAATGGCTGCCTTTTTTAAACGGTTTGAACAAAATAGTCAAGTTCTCTGAAGAAGGTTAAGTGACAGACAACCAATTGAGTTTAATGATGCTGCTGAATTTCTTTCTTTCCTGAAGTTCTTTCACTTCAGTTGATCCTGTAAAACTGTCTACCAGGTGTTGCATACTTCCTAACTGTTGTACCTTTGTGTCTTATATTATTTGGCCCTATTACTTCATTATTTGGCCAGCAAATTTTTCTCAACGGTGTAGAAATCCGAGTTTCTCTGCCATCATGACTTTTTAGCTAGCTAGCGAACAATGTACACAATAAACTTGATTTACTAAACAGAACATTTTTACGTATATATGCAACAGAGCTCTGCTTAATTTTAAGTCCATAGTCATGTAAGACCTACTTTTGCAAAACTCCGATTAGAACTAATCTTAGGATAAATTAATCATTGCTGCTGCAACCCAGCATAAGTTAAAGTAGAGAAGATAATCAATGAAATGTGTTTAAAGTATCAAAAGTAAAAGAACTTGTGAACACTGATGCATCAACTCTTAAGTAGCATTTGACTCCAAACTATCAGTTTGAGGTGAAGCTAGTTTCAACTTCTTCATGTAAAGTTAGTTTAGTCCAGTGGTTCCCAACCTGTGTCAGGCCCTTCAAAGGGTCACATTGTAAGTCTGAGGAGTAGTGAGATGATACATGGGAGACAACAAAAAAAAACACCAAAGTTTTGATACACAAATCTATTTTCACTTTACGAACTTTTTTTGGGAGGAGATATTGGAGTTTTACCATGCTGGGCCTCCACCAGTAATTAAAAACAAATATAAAGTTTAGAGAGGAAATGTCTTGCAGATCTGAAATATAACAGAGGGCTTTGACTAGACGCTGCTTTGCAACAGGTCACAAGCTTTAAACATTGGAAACACCCAGTTTAATCCTAAACAATCATTGTATTTTGTATCTCTATTCAAAAAAAATGTAAATCTTAAACTCAAAGTAACATAGTAATGTAGAGGAGTAAAGCACACAATATTTCCCTCTGAATTGTGTTGAAATAGAAGTATTAAGTAGCATTAAATTGAAATACTCAAGTAAAATACTTGAGTGAACGTACTTAGTTTTTTCCTTTCACTGGTGTTTGGTAATAACTGTCTCATGTTGACTATTTCTTTCATTTAGGTTGAAGCAGAAATTCAGTCTGTTATATGGATATGCAGTGTTTCTGCAGGGGAAGAAAGAAAGAGAGATAAAAAAATGGAGGAAAAGTTATACACTAGAGATGATGTGAAGTACCGTTGTGCTGAGGAAGGCAGACAGGAAGAAATTGCTGTGTTGAAGTAAGAAATGAGGAAGGAGACAGAAGCGAGATTTAGATGTTGAAGTTAAAAGGAGAGACAGCGAATAAGGAGAATCTGAGGGCAGAATAGATGGAGTATAAATATAATTTCTGGTGGCTCCTTTTGAGCTGAATGCTGCAGGGAATTGAGCAGCAAGAAAGCAAATGAACCACTCATCCAGATGTTGCTACATATGTAAACAGCAGTGTGTGCATGAGTATGCATGTGTGTGTATGTGCATCTGTGTGTTAAAGGGTGTGTAATCGAGCTCTATTCTGCAATTAGCATATTTGCCAATTGCCATGGCGGTACTGTGGCAAACTATGGGAGGATGTAATTATAGACCCATGTGTGCATGCAAATGCGCCACCATCCATCTTGTCCTTCCTCATCTCCTTTTACTTCTTTATTTAAACTACTGAGTGTGTGCAGTATTGTTTTTACGGTTATAAAGTGTAGTGTATTGTTTTAATCAATTTGATTGATGGACTGGCTTCTCTCCTTTCCTCTTTCCTCTCTCAGAGCTGCACAAAAGTTGAACTTAGCATCCAAGAAGAAGAAGAAGACCGCGGCAGTCATGGCCCCAGTGACATCATCCTCACCGTCATGTGAGCCCCCTCTGTTCCCCACCAACTTTAGCTCCGCCCTGTTGATGGCCCCTCCCCCGGCTCCACCCTGCCTTCTCCGTGCAGCCAACAAAATCAAAGATACCCCTGGGCTTGGAAAGGTAAAGGAAATATACTTCCTCAAAGTCTTCCTTAAAATATATAGTTCGTCTTTATTTTTGATTAGACTGTCCAAAACACGGTTATGTGTATGGACTGGTTTGTTCATAATGCGGAATGAATATTCATTTACTTATATTTTTATATCTTTGGTAGGTGACATAATGCGATTTATATCATATCACAAGTTGACAGTTTAATGTTTGACATTAAATACATTTTTTTTAAATTGTGTCAGACACATTTAGTTTGTTATGATGAGGAATTCACAAGAAGTCAAGCATTTTATTTCATTAAAAAAAACTTAATTTGTTTCAGTTCATTTGTTAGTTTTATTAGCGTAGCTTTTATTCATTTGTCGTTTGTGTATTGAGGTTTTTATTTTTTGTTGCCTTATTAGATATAGATCAATTTCGTGGGGTATGAAGGTATTGTTACTATCACAAAAAAGTGTTGATTTAGATTATTAATTTTATTCAAACTATTTGTAAGGGTTTCAGTGTCAGTACTTGGTGATTTGGTTTTATTCACTGGTAAGTTTTAAAACATTGATTTATAATTACAGTAGTATTTCATCATGACCTTGGCTGGTTTGTCTAAATCAGGGGTATTCAATTAAAATTCAGCGAGGTCCATTTAGAGAGAATTTCCTCATGCAAAGGTCCGGAACATCACAATAATGCTTCATTAGCGCTATGATTTAGTCCCATAGATATTGAAGTAGCCAACAGTTGTATTAACATCTGTATGTAGTCAACAACTGACTATCAAATCAAATAAGGGAAGTTAAATTGAATAATATCTAAACAATATTTATAATTACAGATTTCAAATTGAACTGTATTAATTATAATACATACTATAATAAATAAATGTTATCCTCTCATTTCAAATAAAATACATGCTGGATAAAAAAACAATACACAATGGAAAGATTTTCAAAAATGTGGTTCTTAAATGAAAGTACTTAATTTTAGAAAAATTAATTGAACTGAATTGTCTTTGCACTGCAGCTTTAAATTCAGTTTATTCAGGTGTGAAGTGATATTATATTCTTATCTTAGCTTTATTCCGTCTCTGTTAACATCATTGTTGGACAGTGGATTAACGTATTGAGATTCTGATCATATTGGGCTCTTAGGTTTATTTTTGTGTTCCTAAATTTGGCTTTGAATGAGTACATTTGCTCAAAAGACTTTTCATCATCGTCACGGTCTCACGGAATATGAGACACACTGCTTTTGAACTGCTTGTGGGAATAATTAACATATAAGAGTCTGTCCATTCTTGGCTAAAGGCTCATAGTGAAGCTGTCCACATTTCTCTTTTTTGAGCACGTCAATAACTTCTCTGACTCACATACTTTTTCCGACAGTTGGGTCTGTGTGGGAATATCGCACTCGAGTCGAGGGCGACTCATATCGGAATACACATATTTGATTGGCCCAGTGAGATGGTTTACAACGCATAGAACCGCTGAACGAGTGCCGTAAAGGCTAGAAAAGCTGCGCCAGTTAAAATAGAAGTGCTCCGTGAAAATGTCATAATTCTCAATTATCTATCGGTTTTATAAGTCCAGGGTCCAGATACGACGACGTCTGGGTCCGGACTATAGTATTTAATTCCAATAAACTGATGTCGCTCATGTTTAGATGTTGAATCTGTTGACCCAAGGTCAGGATATCTGTAAATATTAGATATGACCACAAAATAAAATCAAAATTGGTTTCAACTTGTTTCTCAAACGCAAAGTTCGGTCTGATGAAGAAGTGACCCCTGGTCTAAATGTATGTACTAGTATTTGTGTGTGTGTGTGTGTGTGTGTGTCACCCCCTCTGTACCATACTGGAATGCAGGCTAATGGTTACCACGGTAACACATCTCAGGCTGACAAAAGTCATCTGTCACCATTGCCAACGGTTGATGGGACGCGCTTGTGTGTGGATGTTGTGGATGTGAGGGGGTTTCATGCTTCTCAAGTGTGTGCAATATTGATCGTCCATGTAATGAGTTTTTAGTGCCCCCTCCTCCACGGTTTGAGTGAGAGGCTCACTGACTCCGTGTTTGTGTGTGTCACTGCTAGAAAAAGAATGACAATGGAGGACAAAATCAAACAGAAATCAAACAGCCATGTGTCCATTACAGCACACAGAGAGGGAAAGGGATTCCACACGTCCTGTTGTGATTACGAGTATGAGTAAGAAAGAGAAGAGTGCATCACAGCTAGTTGTGCATGTTGTGTCTGTGAGCTCTGGTGTGTCTGTCCGTCCGTCTGTCTGTCTGTATGTACTTGCATGCATGTGTGACGATGTTGGACTGTTGACAGAAAGAGAGAGGGGCATGACATGCAACAAAGGCTTAAAACAACCAGGGAAGTTGCAGTTATTTGGCATGTGCTGTAACCATTCGGTCACCAGGGTACCTTTACTTAAGTAATGTACTTAAGTAGAATTTTGAGGTACTTCTACTACCTTTCCATTTTCTGCTTCTTTATACTTCCACACTTCTACAAGTCAGAGGCAAATATTAGGCTTAATTTATTTGATCATCTAGCTACTAGTTACTTTCCAGATTCTGATAAATAATAGAAAATATAATGAACAAATACATTTTGACATTATTATATCAGTGAGCCTTTATTGATCCCCAGGGGAAAATTCACAAGCTACCCAAAAGTATATCAAGTAGTTTATACAATGAAAGTATTTGAATACTTTGAAATTAACCCCACATTTATCAGCTACAGTGGACTAACTTTTGATGGAAATCCCACACAATCAGAATATTGTGGGATGTTGTCCATAGACTGTATATAAGAAGTGGATGTAGTCACCGTGTTGACACCCAGGTTTTTTTTTACTGTAATTTTGAAACCTTGAGTTCAGCATTTTGCACGTCGCCATCTTCGTTTTTGGCCGTCACCATCTTGGCTTTTTGCAACCAGAAGTTACACGAGAATGTGGAGCTAGGTACAATCGAACGCTGAATAAGACATTTTTAAGCAACTAAAGATGCGACAATTAACTTTCAAGAACAGAAAACACACTGTGAAAGGGATAAAGTTGTAAGAAGAAAACACAAACAACTCCAAGACAACACCATGTAGCGACCTGTCAATCACAAGGTATTCACGCTAAAAGCATATCCTGCTTTATTGTCTATTTTACTCTTAGTGGGACCAACATTTATTAAATGAACATCATGCTGTATTGAATAAGACTTGAAACTAGCGATTGAGACCATTAACTCATGTTTACAATGTTTACTGAGGTAATCCATCAAGTGAGAAGTAGGGTCATTTTTTCATAGACTTCCATACAATCAGACTTCTTTTTGCAACCAGAGGAGTCGCCCCCTGCTGGCTGAAAGAGAGAATGCATGTTTAAGGCACTTCCACATAGGTTTTCACTTTTTCCCTTTTCAGACCCGGAGGTTTCGCATATTTTCTGTCACTCGCCCGTGCCTGTTATCACACATACCATATTTTAGTTATTAACAAATATTCAAAATGTGTTATTTCTAACAATTGATTTACAGTCAAATCAATTGTTAAAGTTGTAAAGATAAAGCAGTCATTACACATAGACATGTGATTACAGCCATGTAGGTAGAAATGCTTTCACTTGAGAAACACTATCTAGTTCTAGTCTAGAAATCTCAGTCATATTTATTTGAGGCCTTTCATACTTTATTTGTCTTTTTTATGCAACTGATTATTTCATGTGTTGTGTTATTTTTTGCTGGATCCCTCTGAGTCTCTATCTCCGTCTCTGTCCATATGGAGGTGACAGATGTCCCCTCAGTTGTCAGGGAGACAGATTCACACTCTCATATTTACAAGCGCACTCACACACACAGCAGCCAAATTATACTGACATTATGGACCCCTACACTACAAGCCCATATACAGTATACATTATAAACCACATACACACAAACTGTCTTCACCGTCTGTCTGTCTCTCATTCTGGCTTCTGTTTCATCCCACTATGATCTTCTCGGGTCTTGTGATAGCAGTGATTAGCTTGTCTGGCCGGCCGTGCTGTGTACAAATGCCTGCTGCTACGACTGTTTAATTTCAACTGCCAAGCAGCCCCCTTTTCACAGTCATGTGGACATCTCACAGTAATCATTCTGGTGTGATCTGTGTTATGGTGGAGCTTTGATGAAGTCCAGTTGTTTTAGCTATACGTACCCACTTTGTGTTCCTGTTGCCCTGCTGGCAGACGGCTCCTTTCCGAAATCTATTAAACCACAACTTGTTTTTACACATCAGCTTTTGTACGGAACAAACTAAATATAATTTGTTAATTTTGGGATTTTTGACAGAGCTTAATGCAAAGCTTGGGGAAGCATTTTCTGGCCTTAACGTCTTGAATTCTGAATGGTAATTTTTTTAAATTGCCTATATTTAACTAGTGTTTCTGACATGTTATCCTTCGCTTGTGGCACCATCGCGTGCGCCTCCACAAAGAAGTCAAGTATTAAATGCACTACAGAGAAGCGACATTTGAATACCCTGTAAACAATTAAATGCTTATTTTTTTTAAGAACAGGTTGTCTTTGTAAAATGTTAAGAGTGGTTTTATCAGTGAATTATTTGTTGCAGTTATAACTGACAAGCTTAAAGCGCACGGACAGAAAGCACCGAATAACAAAAATTCGTAGGCGCTGGACCAAGCTCCCCAACAATGTGCGGAGACTTTGCGCACAACACGCAAGCCGTGGTGAGGTGATGATGACTTTCTTGCACGTGCACCATATAAACCAAGCTTTAGTTGGCTCTCATTGCTGTGGTTTGGAAAGAAATGGGGAATGAAATAAGGACAGGACATGTACCAAGGCATGAAATTATTCTGGTATTTGGAACATAACAAGCCTCTCCTGTGAAATCAATTGTAGCTTGCCAAGACCTAATCACACACACACGCACACACACACACACACACACACACACACACACACACGTGCATATGAGAAGAAAATGACTGTGGTGACATTT